AGCGCGCGCGCGCGCGCGCGCGCGCGCGTCGTGTGTGTGTGTGTGTGTGTGTGTGTGTGTGTGTGTGTTAAATTTGTGTATGGTATTTTATATGTTAAATTATATATAAAATTTTGAAGTACTTTGTGGTGATTAATCTATATGAATCTTACCCATATATTATGTTGTCCTTTTCTATATCTTTTAAGATGGTTTTGACTCAATGCTTTGTCCAATACTATATGTCGATGTCAAATAACAAAACATCTAAACATTTCATCGCACTTTTAATAACTGCAAATGCATGTAATATTGAATAATCATATCTCGCTGTGCATTTGCATTTGACCCAAGGGCCAGACAGATATGCGCTCATTTGACGATTTTTAATAATTAATAACTTATTACTAATTGCGAAAATGATAGAAAATTTTTTTGCTCAGTTTGACCCTTTCTATCTGCACACAAGTTTTGTATCATCAGTTTTGTCAGTTTCGAATCAGATATCCCGGAAAACTTTTTACCAAAAACATATATTATAAATTAAATAAATAATAATAATAATAATATATCTATATTCTATATACTAATGTAATGACATGTATTCAATCTCTACGTCTATGACAAAAAAACATTTTTATCGGATTTTACACGAAGAATTTTATTATATGTATGAGATAAATGATAACATTTTGACACATATCAATATCAATTTTTAATACTATTAAACTATTAAATATAAATATTTCGATTTTAAATATTTTATTATAAATATTTTATTATAACAAATTCATTATGGACAAACAGAAATAGTACAGTTTTTAATGAAACTCTTATTGTACAATTTGTGCGATAAGAAATTTCATTAAAGAAATTTCGTCAAAGGTATTCAGTTTATAAAGATCTCTACATTATTTTGATACTTCCGAGCGCACAAATTTCTAGCCTTGTGATTTATAATCTTTAAACTTTTCTCATTTAAAAACTGTTACTGTACCTCGTTACATTTCTATATCAGAATTTTCGTCTTAAAATGTTACAAAAAATCAATTATTAAAATATTTATTGTCAATTTTGAAATACCCTATATAATATATTGCATTAAACAAGAAACAAAGTGTTTTAGTAAATTTCATAAAAAGAATTTACTTTTCATAAGCATTGAATAAAAAAGTCTTGCGACGTTATTTTAGAACAAAAACATTTTCGTGTAATTAATAATACATACTTTCACATATGAAAGTAAACATAGTGCACATTATACTTACACTCATAAAAGTAAGATAACCAAATATTACAGCGCCAGTACTAAAAGTCACGCATAACAGTGCTACGTAACGAATAGCGCGCGTCACTTCTTTCGCATACCTGTAAATATATATCTGCTTTTTAGAAAAAATTATAATTACAGTATTATGTTTTTTTTTTATAACTATCGTAACATCGATCATCCAATATTTCTTCAATTCTTTTTTTCCTAAACCTGTATTATGTACCTGAGTAATAGACTGTGTTCGCGTGTATATTTTATTAGCTCTTTCATATTTGTCACTGTGCGAAATTGAACGGACAAAATGTCGAATCTGGCGGCTACGAACCAAAGTAGAAGAGCAGGGAAAGTATTGGTACTAACTTGTAACACACTTTGATAAGCGGCTAATATATGATGCATATAAATAATAGTTTTTATTGGTTGGTATTGCACGTCAAACGGATATTCCGCTTCACATGGAAACGATTGTGATGAAAATAAAGGTGTTACTATAACGCTAATGCCCGTCATTGCCAGCCAGCAAAGAATGCTACCTATGGTAATCGATTTATTATTAAGAAGTTTGTTTTAATAAGTAAAGTTGGTATGTTACACATACCATAAAATGGTTTGCATTTATCAATGTATTGTTGGAAAATTTCTTTTTCATATTCCTGTGCTTGCCGGTAATAATTCTCCATTTCCAAAATGACGAACTGTATTATTAAAGCTTATTATTATTATTAGTATTATTTTATTATTTTATAAAAATACAAAAATGTTAAAATACTTTAAAATACTTTACGTTATTCTTGACTAATGAATTATAGCAATAATTTTATATAGCGATGATAAATTACGATGTTAAAATTGTAAAGAGTTTCATAGAAGGAATAATAAATATTTTTATGTCTATCTAAAGAATTTACGATTTATCTTACAGATAGAACCAATGGAAGTTACGGATTATTTTATAAAAACAATTCAGTTTTTGTAATAAATATTATAAATTTTATCGTGTTATCGTGAAATACTAACTTTTTCGCTAGTTTAATATAAATAAAAATCTTACCTGCAAACGTTTGTTCTGCATTGCAAAGAGTATCATTTGTAATGGTATTTGTACGATGGCGCTTAATTGGCATCCTAACTTCATCACTAGAAGAACGTCGTTGCTATGTCTATAGAGTGTCCATATTGCCGCAATAGCAATTGCTATTGCGTTCGTGAGACAGAAATATTGAAGAGCACTACGAAGAAGTCTTTGGAGCTTCGTGGCGCTCGGCGGCAATGGCCAACAGCAAGCGAACGTCAAGTATATTCTCAGAAAGGCGATTACTTTGTCCAACGTTAGCTTACCCTCCATGGATATATTCGAGACACTCGTGAACTCGGAAATTCAAGCTAGCATAATATAAGCTTTAATCACCCTCGCAATATCACCGAGATAATTTGCCAGCGAGTAGACGCAATAATAGCACTATCGTGAGAGGCGCCGAACGATGAGCGGTACATACCATATCAGCAGTGTTATATTCTGCACTTGGGACGTACAGGGTGTATTGATTCTCAAGGGATACGATACATTATTAAAAATCATTAATATTAAATTAACACTAATTACAATTCTTTCGTGAAACTATACTTATCGGTTTTATAATTATTGTCAGTTAAATAATTGTATTATATTATTGGGAAAGATATCATAAATAAAATTGCAGAGCTTTTTGCAACATTGTAAAATTAAAGTTAAAATTATTTAAAATTATTTCAATAATTTATTCAGTTATTTAGTATTTTAATCAATCACGTGCGTCAAATATAACAGCACAGCTGTTATATAAACTTTTACACTTTTTAAAAGTGCAAAAGTTCACCTATAGAACATAATTCTTGTTGAGTGTTATATTATGTTACATTAAAGTTATTTGATCGAAGTTAATACTTTAATATTGCAACTTCAAGTTTTGCAATATTAAAGCTTTCGAAGATCTCAGTTATTATCAGCTACTCGGAAAATTGATAGAGTAAGTATTTTTTACGGATATCTAATTAGACATCTTGCCTTTGACTACATTTTCCAACGTATAAGATAAAGACCGCTTAATTAATCATATGCCTCGAACATTATTGCCACGTATTTACAACACTTTCAGAAACTACGCACATGTTGCAATCTAATGTCTAGGTAATTGTCTAGTAATAATTAAATTCACTATAGTGACGTGTAAAGCATACAGTGAAATGAAGTAATACAGTCCTTCGTGAGATTGTCTGCAAAGTATAATAAGGGTAGTGTGGATGAAATAAAGATTCAGTTAAATAGTGATGTATCACGGTGTATCATCTGAAAATATTTAATAATTTATTATCTAATATTTATATTAATATAAATTATAATAATATTTATTTAATGATTACACATTTTAGGTGTCCACTATCTCTTTTATTGTTTAAATCTTATTATTAATTTAACTTTGATTTTATATTTTATAATTAAATCTAAATTAACCGTCAGTTTACTTGGAAATTTCAAGATCTAGATGATTTTTTTTAATTTGAATTAGTCGGTAAACAATAAAGGGAAGGGGTAGGCTCCCCTCTCTAAAAACGTTATTAATAGTGAAAACTTATCAGGTAAGAGATGCCGTGTTTCATCAGTCGTTATTCCATACAGCGACAAGTCAAAATCTAGTGTACAGTTAGTGAAGCAAGTAGTCTGGCAAAATTTTATTTTTTTATCACAATAAGTGAACCACGTGTTTTGCTTTTATTTTGATATATAATGTGAATAAAAAATTATTTTTATAATAAATATAGAAATTTAGAACAAATCTATATTTAAGATGGGATACATTTTGATAAAAAAGTAGTAAAACGGAACACTACTTATTAACTATTTATATATTTATGTATTTATATATTTATATATTTATACTATTTATATATTTATATATTTATGTTTATCTTTTCTAAAATAAAATATTAATTTTTTTCAAAAAGTGATTTTTACTTTTCTGTTATCTTTTTTCTATTTTCTATAAACCAAAATTAATTTTACAATTATCAAATAATTATACTTTTTTTGAAGCAGCCATTACATTATTTGTTTTTGTAAATACTAATCTTAGATTGTTTGAAACTACAAGGATTTCATTTATATGAATATAACAAAATTGTAAATATAAATTGTAAATATTTTATCGCAACAATACATTCTGCCTTAAATATGGATATGTACAAAAAAATATAAAAAATATGAAAAAATTTCAAATCATATAACTATACAATTATATTCTTGTTATAATGTTGAAAGAGCATACCAGAATTTTTTAAATTTTTAAACTTAAAACTCTTTGAAAAACTGTCCTTCAGTGACTCAGGTAGACTGATGAAATTGTGAAATTTAGAATAGATTACGAAGGATTAAAAATATTATTATAATTATATAAATATATTACTTAATACATGTATGCGCATATTTTTTTTATATATAATATATTCTTTCCAACATTTTTAAACTCATATTTAATAAAACAACTATAAATTGAATAAGTGCTTGTTCAATATTTCTTATTTAAGTTATTTTTCATCTGTCTATAATTATTTCCAATTTGTAGTATACTGTAAAACAATGGCAATATTCTATTTTTTAACACAATAAAAAGAAGAATACTAATTTTGATATTGTTACTATACAAGCAAAGAAGTATATACTCTGCAATGCAATTTCTTTTAAATCTCCATAACTTTTTTGAACAGAAGTTAAACCATAATTTGAACATATTATTATTTCTGTTATTATTTCTAAAAAATACGCGCTTTTCAGATAAAATCAGTTTTATATTTATATAGACAATGTTTTGCAAATTAGTTATTCAAGATAAAATATTTTATGCATCTTAAGGGGATGCTGGACTGACGAACGAACTTCGACGAAAATGTTCACACATATGCATTTAACATACATTTATGTTTACATATGGTCATACATACATTTCAGTACACACATGAACAAATTTTTATGATACTCCTTTCATAATAAGTATCTAAGCCTAATTCTAAGAAGAACTCAACGTTGCTTCTTCAACCTTCTAGTCTAGCAATCAGTTTTGTAGGTACAGGCTGTCAAAGTTTTATATAAAGCAAATATTTACGCGACTTGACAGCTTTGGACGCCATTTTAGGGTACCAAATGGTAAAAAAGATCTAAATTGTAAAATTTTTTCTCGTTCTTGATACGAAATTCATATGCTAAACACGTATTAATGCATAAACTTTAATTGTGGAAAAGGATTTCTAGATTTATAAGCTGTTAAATCGCGTAAATGTTTGCTTTATATGAAACTTTTACAGCATGTACCTATAAAACTGATATTGCTAGACTAGAAGGTTACATGAAGAAGCAACGTTGAGTTCTTAGAATTAGGCTTAAATTACGATCAAGGGAGTATCACAAAAATTTGTTCATATGTGTATCATGTGTATACAGAAATGTATGTATAAATGTATGTATGTATACATAAATATATCTACGTATGTTTAAATGTGCATATGTGTGAACGTTTTCGTCAGAGTTCGCTCGTCAGTCATCGCTCGTCAGGATCCCCTTAACGGATTATATGCAGTTGCAAAAGACCCAAAAAAAAAAAAAATTTTTTAAAGAATTTTTTTTAGAAACATTGAAAGAGTTTTTCTCGCAGTTTTTCTCGTAATATAATATTTAAAAGTACATATACTTTACAACTTATACAAATTTTTTCAAAATATAATATTGAAATAACCCCATAAATAACAGATACTCTTGTGAAAAATGTTTTTTGAAAGTGTTTTGCGGTGAGCACAATTTTTGGAAATTGGATGGCATATGAAATCAAAAATTCAAAAAGATTTCGTTAGTATATGCTCTAGTGTTCTTGAACGATTGATTTTTTTTTTTTAATTTCATTTTGAACAAAATGATAGCCGTTAAATAAAAAAGTACGATTTTATATGACTAAATTTTTTTGTTAATTAAAAAACAAAAATTTCATTAGGGAAAAAAATCGATCGTTCAAAGACAAGTATTTGTATAAAAAAAGCCTGCAAAATTTTAATCCGATTGGTGCAGCGGTTCCCGAGATATCTTGCTCACTGATTCATAATATGTTTGAAAAAAATTTGATTTCGAGAAAACGCAATTGAAGTTTCAGATTAAGTTCTCACGTAAATAAAGTTACTATTTTTCAACTTACACAGAATCATTTATTTTAGGCCCATAAAATAAAGTATCTTTTGCTGCAGAAGCTGTCTCTAAAATATCAATTTACAAAATATCAATTTACATTCCAGTTTTACACAGAAGGGACCGCCTTGCCTCGGCGCGCTATCTGCGCTAAGTACTTTGTACAGCGTACCCTCCAAACTCGTATATTTCCGATAATTTTAATTCAAATCACTTCAAATTTTCAGAAAATATTCTTTGGATGGTATAGTTTACGAAAATAAATATTTTCAAAAATCTATTTTTTCGACCTATACAACTGCATATACCCCTTAAAGCGTCAGCGTTATATAATTATATGTATAAATGAGATTAAACACGCTCGTTATAATATATTTGTAAAAATATAAACGATTATATCAACCTATTGTTATGTTTTATTCAGAAATACGCGCTTTTTATGTAGTAATTACATACAACTATAACATAAAAAATATTTGTAAAACATAAGTTCCTTCATCATAATATATCCATATTAATCAATTAATCGTCCTCTTCTGCAAATATAACTCGAAAAGTGGCCAAATAAGAGAAGGCAGTTGAAACGTACTAAAATATAATGTAACTTTCCTAATTTAAATAGTTTAAATAATTTATCATATTGCATAATAAAAAGAATTTTAAGAATGTCGACTTATATTAACAATAGTGATGGAGAACATTTATAAAATTAATATATTTATATATATTTTTTTTTTTGCAAAAGTGGAATTTCACTTGCGAGAAACATAATTAACAAAAATATATAAATTGTAAATAATTTTTGGTTTTTGTATATTTTCGAAAAGAAAGCAATAAAAAATATTTGTAGAATGATATTAAGTACAATATTATTTCAAGCTTGTACATTTATCAAGTAATATAAAAATATTATTACAAAATATTATTACATTTAACAAAATTGTTATAATAAAAATCAATAACTTACTGAGGCATAATAATTTAACGAAACAGTTGGTAACATAGGGGGGACATTCACAACAATAGATTGTTGGGCACGTAACAGAGTGTTTACAAAATTTTTCTGAAAATCAGCTTTCTCATTATACCATATCGAATCGTATGCAGCATATGCAATATTAGCGCTCTGAAATATTAATTTTCAAATATATCAAACTTTTTACAACTCTACGTTTAGAAACATAACTTACTGCACTCAACAAATGATCGGCCGGCCATGCACACAAAAATACTTTTGCGAGAGATGAAATAAAGAAGATTAAAAATGTTGACTTTACTGACATTGGTTGTTTCTTAAAGAAAAAATTGTAACGGATAATGTAGATAGCTCTTGTAATACATCTGGTTTATCAAATACTGAGTAATATGAGTAAATTGTTTCTTAAATTACAACACGAATTATATAATATAGCATGATATACAATCAAATAAGGTATCGTGTAGAAATAATAAGAAAACTGTAATATTATAAAAGTTTTACGTAATGCTTATTGTCACAAAATAAAATTAGAAAATTTTTCTTAATAGCACATGTCCAAAACATTTTATAATTGGTTGTTAGAAACATTTCTCATAAGTTAAAATATCCATTTTGTAAAACATTACATAAAACTTTTTTCCAACAAAATGTTTTTCTACTCGCTAAACAGTGAAATTAAAAAATATATTTTATGATTTATGATAAATCTATTATATTAACATTATTATATGAGAATAATTATATTAATATAAAATTTCTTAGGCATATAAACTTCTTTATATATAAAACAGAAAAGTTTACATTCTGTGCAAATAAATAATAGTGTACGTAGTATTTATTTTTTTAAAGTAATTATATCCATATATATATATATATATATACACGCGCACGCACACACACACACACACACACACACACACACACACACACACACACACACACACACACACACACACACACACACACACACAC